GGTCACACATTCTTCTAAGTGGTATAGCACTGGTCTGTCCATTTGCTGTACAGAAGTAACTCATGGTTGCTGTGATGCTAAACATTGTGACACTGATGTGTCAAATGCGTTAATGGTTACCCATGGTGGACAGTTTGATGGAGCTCACAGATTAAAACAGTCTTGGAAGGAGGAGTGGCATCCACTTCCAAAATAGCTTGCCTCTGGAAAGTCTGAACTCAGAGAAATGATGAAAGTTAAACAAATGTTCAGGTCTTTCGTTCATAGGGTCACTATGAGTCATCTGCAGCTCAACGACACCTCACAACAACAACAATATTTATGAGAAATTACAAAGATTTGTTCTTATTGACGAGTCTCTGTGCAGTCTTCTGAGGAATGTCAACTATATTCCAATCACTAGGTTCCTTCAGCTTCATTCTTTTCTCCATCTATATGTTGCCTATTGGTGAGTTTCTGTTTTCTTGATGTTGAGATATTATTCATATTGAAGACTTTAGTCTTTGTTCTTCAGTATCCTTTAGATCTTCACATTTTATGAGCAAGATTGTATCACATTATTTTTCACGTAGTCCAGCTTCTTAGGTGCAGAGAAAGAATACTCTTTTGATGCAACATAATCAAAACCTATGATAGCAAGAATCAAGAAATCAAAAGGAAAAAAAAATCTGCCATCAAAGGCTTTGCCATAGTGATAAAGAAGAAGGATAGAAGCTTAAAGACTAGGGTGCACCTGATCCAAATCATTGTATTTTTCATTTGCATTGTATGCATCTGAAAGTTGAACAGTGAGTAAGGAAGACAGAAGAAAAATCTATGCCTTTGAATTTTGTGTTCAAGAAGATGGTTGAATATATCATGAACTGCAAAAAGAACAAACAGTTCTCTCTTGAAGGAAGTGCAACCAGTGTGCTCCTTAGAGCAAGGATGGGGAAACCTCGCCTCACATACTTTTTACATGTTGTGAAGAAGGACCATTTGTTGGGGAAAACGTCATACTGGGGAAGGATGAAAGTTAATGGAGGAAGGCCTTCCGTAAGATAGGTCGATACAGTGACTCTATCCATGGGCTTGGGCATGTCAGAGATTATGAAGATGGTACAGGATAAGGCAAGTTTAAAATCTGCTCTTTGTAAGATTGCTATGGATTGTAGTCAACCTCATGGTATCCTACAACTGGTGATGAAAGCTGTGCCTTTCCATTGTAGATTCATTTATGTTATACCATTTTGTAATATCTTCATTGCATTTGTATGTTACAATTCACTTAAAAAAATACAAACTCTTTGATAATACATATTGTCCAGGCTCTTACTGACTTCTCCATGTTTTCTGTTACCATCCTGTGTAGCATTAGCATTTAGTATTACAAGATAGCCTAATTGCCATACATTTTAAGTTTTGTGAGTTATAAGTGTACTAATTATAATCTCTTTGGCCACTAGATTGTCCAGCTATTCAGTAAAATTATAAAAAGAAAGAAAATTGGATTTTGAAATGATTTTTTAAATGAGAGAAATGTTTTCTATTTACGCACATGTTGCTGTTGTTGTTATGTGCCATTGAGTTGCTTGCGACTCATAGCGACCCTGTGTACAACAGCCCTAAACCCTGCTCTTTCCTGTGCCAATCACACTGCCTCTGACACATCCATCCTGATTACCCCAGTCACCTAATCAATCCACCTCATAGAGGGCCTTCCCTCCCTGTGCTGTCCCTCCACCCTACCAAGCATGATGTCCCTTTCCAAGGTCCTGTCCCTCCTTACAACATGTCCAAAGTATGTCAGACGAAGCCCCAGAATCCTTGCCTCCAAGGAGCAGCCTAGTTTAACCCTCTCCAGGATGAATCTTTGTTTTCTTGGCAGTCCATGGTATATTCAGTACTCTTCTCCAGCACCACAGCTCAAAGGCATCAATTCTCCTTCTATCTTCCCTAGTCATTGTCCAACTCTCTGATGCATAACAAGTGATTGGAAAGACAATAGCCTGTATCAGATGCACCTTAGTCTCCAGAGTGACACCATTGCTCTTCAGTACCCTGGAGAGGTCCCTAACAGCAGACTTTCCCATCGCAATACATTTTTTTATTTCCTGGCTGCTTGTGCAAAGAGTGTTGACCGTGGAGTCAAGTAAACTAAAGTTGTTAACAAAATCAGTCACTTCACCATCCATCCTAATGCTGCCAAATGGTCCAGTGGTGAGAATCTTTGTCTTCTTGGCATTGAGCCTCAATAGTTTCTATATAAATCTTTTTATAATTACACTTTTTCATTTGTTTTTATTTTCCTCTCTTTTGAGAGATCTTTCATTAACATTTCTATGAGAATAGGTGTATTGATCTTTGCATTTACTTGCTGTGCATCAGAAAGCTGGACAGTTGACTAGGGAGGATATAAGGAGAATTGATGCCTTTGAGCTGTGGTGCAGGAGAAGAGTATTAAATATACTATGGACTGCTAGGAGAACAAACAAGTTCAACCTGGAGAGGGTGAAGCCAGGCTGCTCCTTGAAGGCAAGGATTCTGAACCTTTTCTGACATACTTTGGGCATGTTGCAAGGCGGGATCAGTCCTTGGAGAGGGATGTCATGCTTGGGAGCGTGGAGGGACAGCGCAGGAGAGGAAGACCCTCAATGAGATGAATTGATTCAGTCACTGTGGTAATGGGAATAGGTATGTCGGAGACAATAAGATTTGCAAAGGATAGGGCTGTTTTACATAAGGTCGTTATGAGTTACAGGTGACTCGATAGCACATAACAACATGTTCTTCTGAAAAATTTATTTTAACTTTCATTCCTACAGTTCTTAATACTGTTCTGCCATCATTTTAGAGATGCCATTCTGCATGACAATTTCTGAATGAAGTCTGCTCCCAGTTTTCTTTGTCCTTGTGTAATTTTGTTTCTCTCTAATTGCTCTGCCCAATCTTATATGGTCTGGTTATATTGCACCTGATTGTGGTTCATTTTCACAATTAGGTACAGCAAACATTTCCAGTGCAGTCATGAGGGTTGATTGTAGATCTGAGCAAACTAAAATTAACAATCTCTGTTTCTTCTCTGTCATGATGCTGTCTATTAGCCTGGTGATGAGAATCTTTCTTTTCTTGATGTTGAGATACAGTCAATATTGAAGACTGTGGTCCTTGACCCTTTGCAGCAACTGCTGCAGGTTCTCTTTGGTTTCGGCATGCAAGGTTGTGTCATCTGCATGATGCAGATTATTGGTGAGTCTTCCTCTTATCCTGATGCCACCTTCTTCTTCATAAAGTTTAGCCTTCCTGAATGATCTCTTCGTGTATAGATTGAAAAGATTTGGAGAAAAGACACATCCCTTCATGCACTCCTTTTCTGATTTTGGATCCTACAGTGTTTCCTTGCTCTGTTCATGTAACTACTTCCTGGTCTAAGTATAGGTTTCACATGAGCATAGTCAGGTGTTCTAGAATTCCCTTTCTTCTAAACATTAGCCATAATTCATTGTGATTCAAAATCAAACGCCTTTGCACAGTCAGTAAAGCACAAATAGATGGTCATCCTTCTGGGTTAAGTAGTGAGTGTTTTTATTTCTTTTATGTTGAGATGTAATTCCTAGTGAAGGCTATATGTAGTCTTTGACCTTCTGTAGCACGTGTTTTGAGCCCCCATCCCTTCATTGAGCAAGGCGGGTCATGTGCACAGTTCAAGTTTCCCCTACTCCCCATACCACATTTGTTTTCATATAGTCCAGCTTCTCTAAATACTTGCTTAGCATACAGCACGAGTTGATAGGGGAAAGGATGGTACCCTAATGCATGCCTTTCCTCATTGTAAAGTGTGCAGTGTCCCCTTGTTCTATTTGGACAAGAACTTTTTGTCTAGGTATAGTTTTGCATGAGCACAGTTAAATGCTCTGATATTCTCATTCATCAATGTTAGCCATTATTTGTTATCATCCACATAGTCAGATGCCTTTGCATAGTCATTGAAACACAGACAAACATCTTTCTGGTATTCTCTGATTTATTTAGCCAGAATCCATCAGACATTAACAGTGATCCTGGAATTCATCTTGATTTTTCTCACAGATGTCTGTGTACTGTTCCTTCCATTCTCAAGTACTCTTCAGCAAGATTTTACTTGTATGTTATATTAAGAAATCATTGACATTTCAAACTATAAACAAAGAAGCATATACATACTAAGAATATAAAATAAACCGTAACATGCAGGTCACCCTTGCCCCCACCCCCCAACCTTCCCCAGCAAACTGACAGATAAGCGTGTCTAATAAGTTGTTACAGAGTACTGTTAAGTCAGAACCAACCCATAGCTGACCTCTAGTGGGCTTTCAGAGGCAGTAAATTGCACAGGAGGAGATTACACATCCTTGTGCTGCAAAGCAGCTTGTAGATTCGAACTGTATGCCTTTCCGATTGCAGCACTGCTTTTTACCACTAGGCCACCAGAGCTCCCTGCTTATAAAAGAAAACTGTAAAAGCCAGTGTTGGTTGAAGGCTTTTTGCTGACCAGGTGGAGTGGGAGCTGATCTTTATTGGGGTTGGTGGCTGATGCTGTCTTCTGTGTAGCCCTGAGGTCCTGAGCCTGTCAGCATTAATTAGAGTGGTGTTCATAGAAAATATTTAATCACATCTGAAAAACTGGCAGGTGTAATACATGTTATTTGAAGAAAATCCTTTCCGACATGATACATCTCAGCTATTACTTCAAAAAGAAAAAAAAAGCCTAGAAAATGGTTAAAAAAGATTTAAACGGTTAAAGTATACTATTTCTAAGTAGTAGTTTTATGAGAGACTATTTTTAGTTACATTTTCTCTCATTTCCAGAAGAGATAGAACATTCTAATACTTGAAAGCAGATAAGACATTTGTAACCATATATCCACATTTCTCTTAGATCAGAGACTTCTGTTTTCTACAAAGTAGGCAAACTAGCCATACCTAAAATAATTATTTTCTTTTTTTTAAAAAAAAATAATGATTTCTGGCTTGTTCTGCAGATAAAAATTTTGATGAGGAGGATTCTGTGGATGGTAATCGACCTTCCTCTGCCAGTTCAGCTTCATCCAAGGCTCCAGCAAGCTCACGGAGAAATGTTGGAATGGGGACTGCCCGCCGACTGGGATCATCCAGTCTTGGATCCAAGTCTTCTGGTAAGACAAAAGTCTAGTTTCTGGGCTCAGTGATTCCAGTTTTTAAAGTCAGAGGTTCTTGCTGCTTGCCTTCTTGTGTCCTTGAGAAATAAAGTACTTCTGCTTGCAGCGTGTTTCTACTTACTGGTCTTTGAAGTTCATGCAGGAGCTGCTGTATAGGAATGTGAGCTACTGTGCTGCCAGGTGCACATTCTGGAAAGTGGAGCCTGGAGGAGAATGAAGCCAACACAGAGAAAGGCAGCCTGAGAAAGCTCTTGTGATGCTGTTTGATTCTCTGTATCCAGCAGCTACAGAAACTGCTGTGGAACTTTTCAGCCCATTGCTGTTTAGTGAAGATGGAGAATATACTGAAGATAGAATGCAACTTTTTCTTTGAAATATGTTTTGTTGCTTGTGAGGGCAGTATGAATGTTAAGTAAATGGTAGAGGCTTTATATTTGGTAGTAGGATTTTCCCATATATTTGAAAATCAATTGATAAGGATTTTTGTCTATAAATCCCTCAGACCTCTCATTCTCCCAAATCTATGATGTCTCTTGATTCTTTGCCATATACAGCTTTTATATTGCTGTCTCATTTTAAATGTGTTTGCAAATTTCACCTCTGAAATACTGTATGGAATTGCTTAGAACTAGGCTGTTAGCATTGGACCTTTGAGCTTCTGAGGTGAAATAGCCAGTATTACTAGGCTAAGTGAAAACAGGAAGAAAGGATAAATGGTCCCGTTCTCCCTGATAGTCTTTCTTGTTGCAGGGATGAGATGATCTCTCATTGTTGTTTGCATTTTCATCTCTCTTAAAGCTAGGGGGTTTGTACATTTCTTCATGAGTCTGTTTTCTGTGAATGTCCTCCTTGGTGAAGTGTCTGTTCTTGGCTTGTGCCCATTTTATGATTGGGTTGTTCATCTTTTCCTTGTTGAGATAGACGCTGGAGTATTCTATAAATTTTAGATATGCATCCCTTATCATATATGTCATTGCCAAATATTTTTTCGCAGTCCATGGGTTTCTTCTTTTTCCTTTGGGGAAGGTTTTGGATGTGCATAGGGATTGCCCAACCTATCTATAAACCCTCATTTAAAAAAATTACAATTTTTTAAAAAAAGAACTTTAAGAAATTGATGTGGAAATGTAAATATTTTAGAATATGCTTGAATATTTTGTGAATTTATTAACTTAAATTTCTTACAATAATCTAATTTATCAAGTAGAGTGTAATTTTTTTGTTGTATCTATTACTAGGTAATCTTTTAAAAGATTTGTGAATTAATACAGTATGAATCATCTTTATACTCTCAAAAATTTAGATACTCTGCCTGCAGAAAGTAGTCTCTCTGTATGCCTTTAAGCTGATTTACGTAGCATTATAGAATTCCCAATCTTGATGTTAAAAATCTATGTTTGTAAACTCTAGGATGCTCTAAAGTTTTTAACAATCTTTTGAAAAATAGAGGTACATCTTCTAAAATATATTATGAATTGTATGAATTCTGATTTTTTTTTCAGTGTGCTTTTTTTTACATTGTTAAAGAAAAAGTTTTAAAAAATTAAACTTTTTTACAGCTGCAAAAGAAGGAGCAGGTGCTGTTGATGAAGAGGACTTCATTAAAGCATTTGATGATGTTCCTGTAGTACAAGTGAGTGAGCATGTTGAGTTGTTGTTGTTGTGTTATGTGCCATCGAGTCGCTTGCTACTCATAGCGACCCTATGTATAACAGCCCTAAACTCTGCTCTCTCCTGTGACAATCGCATTGTCTCCGACACTCCCATCCCAATTATCCCAGTCCCTAAATCAATCCACCTCATAGAGGGCCTTCCCCTCCTGCGCCGTCCCTCCACCCTCCCAAGCATGATGTCCCTCTCCAAGGACCGGTCTCTCCTCACAACATGTCCAAAGTATGTTAGACGGAGCCTCAGAATCCTTGCCTCCAAAGAACCAACCCGATTAACCCTTTCCAGGACGAATCTGTTTGTTTTCCTAGCAGTCCATGGTATTCTCAATACTCTTCTCCAGCACCACAGCTCAAAGGCATCAATTCTCCTTCTATCCTCATTGGTCATTGTCCAACTCTCTGATGCATAACAAGTGATTGAAAGACCATGGCCTGTATCAAACACACCTTAATCTCCAGAGAGACACCATTGCTCTTCAGTACTTTGGAGAGGTCCCTAACAGCAGACTTTCCCATGGCAATGCGCCTTTTAATTTCCTGGCTACTCTTGCCAAGAGTGTTGATTGCGGAGCCAAGCAAACTAAAGCTGTGTACAATCTCAATCTCTTCACCATCCATCCTGATGTTGCCAATTGGTCCAGTGGTGAGAATCTTTGTCTTCTTGACATTGAGCCTCAATCCATATTGTCAGCTGCAGTCCTTGACCCTCTGGAGCAGGTGCTTCAGGTCCTCTTCAGTTTCAGCAAGCAGGGTTGTGTCATCTGCATAACACAGATTGTTCATAAATCATCCACCAATCTTGACCCCACATTTCTCCTCATAGAGCCCAGCCTCCCGGATAATTTGTTCTGCATATAGGTTGAAAAGGTGTGGAGATAGGATGCATCCCTGGCGTATGCCCTTCCCAGTTTTGAACCATGCAGTGTTCCCTTGCTCTGTCCTGACGACTGCCTCCTGGTCCAAGTATAGGTTTCACATTAGCATGATCAAGTGTTCTGGGATTCCCATTCTTCTCAGAGTCAGCCACAGTTTGTTATGATCCACACAGTCAAATGCCTTAGCATAGTCAATGAAACACAGATAGACATTCCTCTGGTATTCTCTGCTTTCAGCTAAGATCCATCTAACATCAGCTACAATATCCCTAGTACCACGACCCCTTCTAAACCCAGCCTATGAATAAAATTAAAGGTAGACTCATTCTTCAAGTTCTTGCTATTCAGAGTTAAGTCTGTGGGCAGTTAGATAAAGAAAAATGAATATGTTATGGTAGAGAAGTTTAGGAATTTTTCTTTGAAAAATGTCTATATGTGAAGAATTTTTGTGACTGAGAAACTGTGGTTCTTGTTGTTCATTCCCATCTAGTCAGAGCAAGCTCCAAACTAACCCTCCAGGTGCTTGCAGAGTCTGTAAATTGCACGGGAAGCTATTGTGTTTCTTTCTCCCATGGATCAGATGGAGATTAGAACTGTATGCCTTTTAGATTATGTGCAATTCCTTATCTACTAGAGTCAACAAAGCTCCATATAGATAATGTGTTATTAAAGCATGGCTTACAGGACTTTTGATGTTTCACCTAACTACTTATTTGTGAAAGCAAAGATGTTAAAAGTTTGGGTATATCACACTTTCTGTTTCAATTCTTTAGTGATTTAGTACCTTCATTTGCTGGCTCGAATTGTATAGTAATGACTTTTCTTGGCCTAAATATAATGCCCTTCTCTGGTGTCTCTATGACTCTCTTGCCAGTTACTACTGCTTGATTTTCGTTTGTGTAAAAATCAGACAGAAAGCGTCTGAGGCTCAGGCTCATCATTAAGTACTTGACCTTCCCAGCATGCTACATTCTTGATTATTATTCTGCTTATCTCATAAATAAGTTGTGTGTATATGTGAGAAAGTAAGCATTAGGGTTTCAGGGCTCATGCTTTAGTATAAATGATACTAAGAGTAGCAGATAATGCATTATCTATTGCCCTGAAGGCACTATTTTTCTACTGCATGTGATCTTATACCAGGGTTGTGTGTGAACAAAAGTAGAGTTACTCTTATGTGGCCAGCAACTCTAGTTGGTACATATTCACAACAGAAAAGCAGCCATTCCCAGACAAATCTGTCTCTGTGATACTTTTTAAAAAGGAAATAATTTCTATACTTCTTGTCCTTTTGCATTTATGTAATTAAAGCAGAAATCTTTCTTTGTTCTGCAAAGTTTCTGATATTCATTGTAAATTCATTTGTTTACAGATTTATTCCAGCCGAGACCTTGAGGAATCCATTAACAAAATTAGAGAAATATTATCTGATGACAAGCATGATTGGGAGCAAAGAGTAAATGCTGTAAGCCATTGACTTCATGTGATTCTATTTGCCTTCCACAAATTGAAGTAGTCTTAAGTATTTTTTATGAACTTGGTATCAGCTTATGAAATTCTTAAACAGTAGGTATTTTAATTCTAAATTATTATAAACACTATCTTTTAAATAACTCAGACTCAGTTGCCATTAAGTTGGACCAACTCATATCTCACTATTCAGGAGTTTTCTGAAGCTGCAAATCACATGAGAAGAAATCTTTCTCCCAAGAGCTGCCACCTTTGAGTTAGCTGAGGCCTGTGGATTAATTTTTAAATAGTGTTGGGTTTTTGTTTTTTTTTGCCTTTTTAGAACATACCAGTTTATACCTTTGTATATCTATTACTGTAAAAGTTTGTCATTATGAATGTACCATCTGCTGCAAAGCAGAAACAAGGGGCATTCTCCCATCAAGATTCACAGCCTCTGAGGGTCTCTGTGAGTCAGAAACAGCTCCCCAGCAATGAATATCCTTTTAACAGACCTTTGAACAGATTATGGCCCCCTCTACTCTCAACATTAATTCAAAATCAGGTTAGCATTATTAATAATTAAACAGTGAAATGTGATGAAACCTAGTATAAAAATGTTCCCAGCCTACTGCCACATTGGCACTGACTCTTAGTGACCTGGCTTCTGAGGCTATAAATCAAAATGTGAGAAACCTGCTCTTCCTCCTTCACTGATGCAGCTGGTATATGCAAACTGCTGGAAATGTGAAGCCTTTGCGTTAACAATGCAACCTGCTGTAAAGCATGACACCAGAGCTCGCTATAAAAGCACTGGACTTCCTAATTCCATTGATTTGTTAAATAAATGGCAGTTGGAATGGTTGTGTGAAAAGATGAGGTTAGATATTTTTACAAGCCTAAAATGAAGAATTTAATTATTGTCTAAAAAAGTCTGTGAATACACTAACATGTTTGTAATTAAAATAATAGCTACAACTTTTGTATATTTATGATACAGACATATCACAGACAATTCACTTATTTCTCTCGAGTCAAAAGCAACTGATGAACCAAAACCCTGCGAAGGGTTTTCTGAGGTATAAATTGCATGAAAAGAGATTGCTCATCTTTCTCACAAAGCTGCTGGTTATTCACCCTTCCAGAGCGGCACCACATTTGAGTTAGCAGTGCTACTGCCTAGAAACTAGACCAGCAGAGGTCTTACTTTTTTTAATATTTTTTCATGTTTTGTTTAATATCAGTTAGTTGAATTGTTTTCCTAGACTATAGTATTGATCTCTTTTGTGTTGGATGGCTTCTGTCATTCAGTATACCCTCTCATCACATATCAACAAAGCTTCCAACAATCAAGTGAACATTTAATAATGAGGGATGACCATATTAGATCGCAAAATGACTTAAGTACTTATTCCATCATTTACTAACTGCCAGACCGCCATGGCTGAGCCATGTTGACATATAATCCTAACCATGCAGGAAGCATTGCTCTCATTTTGAACCTCAGAGTGATAACTGCCAGGCATACATCATTGTTGTATAAAATTATTGCATTGTATATATTTCACCATTGTTACTAATGCAAAATGTTGAATAGCTAGAGAGTTGATAAGTGAGGAAAAGGCATGTATACTGTGTCTTGAGAATTATTTGTTTATATTGCTTACTTTTCTCTATTCCATTAGCTAAAAAAGATTCGATCTTTACTTTTGGCTGGTGCTGCTGACTATGATAACTTCTTTCAACATTTGCGTCTCTTGGATGGAGCCTTTAAACTCTCTGCTAAGGATCTGCGGTCTCAGGTAGTGCGAGAGGCTTGTATCACGTTGGGGTAAGGACTGCAATGCTCCAGATTCTCCCACATCACAATAGAGCTCCGTCAGGATGCTTCATGCAAGGGTCATGGACTATCAGATGGGTCTCTTTACTATAACTTTGGAACTAATCTAAAGACCCATTTTGTTAGGTTTATGTCAGTATTTTTTTACTAATACCCTACCGAGCAGTACTGATCAGTCCTGAGACTACTATTTTAAAATTTGTATTCCCCTCCCCTTTAAACTTACTGTTGATTTTGCTAGCAGAATATAGCATTTTTGGAGGTTTAACCCCCTGTCCCCCGAAAGTACTCTAGGTATAACATTCAAATAAAGGTATATATATTGCAATAGAGTTTTACTATAGGTAAACAAACTTGTATCTGTGTCTGAAGTAAAAACTCTATACATTAGAAAATTAGCAACAATAAAGCAGCATTGCCTTTTATCAAGTTTTGACTATGGCCAGATATTAAAGTAAGAATATTATATGTTAAAAGAAAAATAGTGAAGGATCTTTCTCAACATTTATGATTTATTTGAGGTTTGATATTTTAAGACTAATTGTTTGGAAATTATTTATTTAAAATAACTGTAAATCCAGTTGGCTTAATGACTTTATTAATGTCTTCTGTGAGCATGCTAGAAGTAGTTTTGTATGTTTTTATTTTACATATTTTAAAGTTGTTTTCATATGGCATGACTCAAAATGAGAGAAACAGCTGTAGTACTGAAGGACTCCATAGACAAATGTTCAATAATGAAGAAAGCAGCAAGGAAAATAGATAGAATATGCAGTATGCAGTCACTAGTGAACCACTTCAAGAAGTATCATGACTAAGCATAATAATGATAGTAATATCGGAAATGGTTCAAGGTGCATCAAAACCATTGGCAAAAATGGATGCCAGGAATCATCAGAGGTCATTCAGGAAACAGATGCAGTCCTGTACATGTTCATTCATCTGAAAGACAACTACCTTCTAAAAGAAATCCATATTTTTGCACCCTTTCTTTTTAAATGTCACCCAATAGATAGTGATAATTATCAAAAAGTATCAGTAATTTCACAGGAAAGTAAATTTCTGCTGAAATGTACAACTGGGCATTGTACTGACAGAAACTCTAGCTAGATTCAGGTGAGGCTTTGAAACAAGGGATATCATTTCTGATGTTAGATGGGTGTTTCAGGAAGCAGAGAATACTTGAAAGATGATTAATTGTGTTTCATTAGCTATGCAGATGCATTTGACTGCATGCATCCTAACACATGGATGGCATTGAGACGAATTGGAATTACAGAACATTTAATTGTGTTCATGCAGAAACTATACATGAACCAAGAAGCAGTTGTCTGAATAGAACAATGAAATACTGCATAGTATAAATCAGAGGAAGTATATATTAAGTATGTATGCTTTCACTATACCTGTTCCATTTTAGTGCTGAACAAATAATCTGAAAAGCAGGATATTTGAAGAAGAATGTAATATTGGGAGAGGAGGCAAACTTAACAAACAACCAGCATTTTGCAGATTATATAGCTTTCCTTCCAGAAGGTAAAGAAGACTTAAAGCACTTACTGAAGAAGAAGATCAAAGATTGTAATGTTTAGTATGAATTCACACTTCAGTATAAAGAAAAATTCTGCCCATTGTGCCAATAGACCAAGTTTGGTAGAGACTGAAGTTGTCAACAATTTCATTTTACTTGGATCTACAACCAATATCAATGGTAGCAGCTTTCAAGAAATCAAAAGATGTATTGAGCAAATCTATGGTCAGGGACTTTTTTTAAAGTACTAAAAAAAAAGCAAAGATATGACTTTAAAGACTAAAGTACGCCTGACCCAAGCAATCTGAAAGTTGGACAAAGTTAAGCAATCCAATCTGAAAGTTGGACAAAGATTAAGGAAGAGCTAATAAAAATTGATGCCTTTGAAGTGTGGTGCAGGCAAAGGGTATTGAATTTGTCAAAGATTGCCAAGTGAACAAATAATTCTGTATGACAGAAGTAAATCAGAATTTTCCTTAGAGGAAAGGATGGTGAGACTTTATCTCACATGTTTTGGGTTTGTTGTCAGGAAGGGCCAGTTACAGGAATAGGACATTGTGCTTAGAAAGGTAGGGGACCAGAAAGAAAAAAGGTCCACAATGAGATGGATTGGCACAGTGACTTTAATAGTAGTCTTGAGGAAAACAGACATGATCATGGTACCGTATTGGGCAAAGTTTAGATCTGTTGTAAATAGGGTTGCTGTGATTGAGAGTGGACTCCGTGGGACAGTAACGAGGATCAAGATCTCCTTATCCTTTACCCTTTAAGTAAAATGTTCTAAGTAGTTAAATTTGTTTACTGCAATCTTCATAAGGATTTAAACTGCAACTCAGTGTTCTTTTTTTTTTAAATTGTAGTCATTTGTCATCAGTCCTGGGGAACAAGTTTGACCATGGAGCTGAAGCCATCATGCCAACTATCTTTAATTTAATTCCAAACAGTGCCAAAATCATGGCCACATCTGGTGTTGTAGCAGTTCGGTTAATCATTCGTGTAAGTACGTTTTACAGTACGTACAAAAAGCAACTGATAAATGGTGGTGACTGAAACATTAAAGATATTTGCCCATTAGCATGATCATCACATTTGGCAGTAATCATATTTACTATGGAAAGTAGTGACAAAGGGTAAAGAAGAAATAAATGATTGCTAACAAGAAGTGAGAAATAATGATTGCCAGTATTTTAGTATTCCAAATATTTTATTTAAAACTGCATTTGGACTCATTCTCTGCATAAAGTGCTGTCTCCCACCCCCCTCACCCCTCCATCATAGTATCATAGTATATGAACATTTTGTCTTTTATAATATGAATTATTGGCATAACACATATTTACTAAAAGATTTGATTCAGAATCAGTTTTTCATATTTAAGCATCTTTATCTACTTCTCAATTTTTTTTTTCGTTTATCTCTTTAGCTAGCACTCTGTTCCTTGCTTCTTAATTTCCATTTCTTCCATTTTATATCTGTGCTTACGTTTTTTTTTTTTTTCATTCATCTGAGTTGTTAATAATGAACTAATTTCACATAAGAACAGAGATAAAATGACCTGGCAGTGGCTTAGTGGTAAGAAATTGTATTGCCAACCCAAATGAATGCACTTGAAATCCACCAGCTGCTCTGTAGGAGGAAGATGGTCAGTTTCCTCCCTTGTGATTTATTGTCCCTGAAAACCGCTGGAGGATGAGCCAAGGGTTCCAGCTTGATGGTACATAACAACCTTCAGTTATATTTTCTACCTAATATAACTTTTCACATTTGTATTTTAAAATGTATACTTAAACCTAGTGATGATCTGTTTGGAGTTGTAAACCTATTTGCATATGATGGTATTGTCTAGTTTGGGCTCTCTAACTTTTATAATCATCTTTCACAGTTTCCAGTGAAATTCTTTCCACTTTCAAAATTTGATGAAATTCTATTTATTCTTCCAAAAGATAGCAGTGAAAGTGCCCCACTTTTTAAATTTGTTATCTTTTAGGTGGTACTTTAGAATTTTCTTTTTTTTTCCTTATTGTGTACCATCGAATCAGATCAGACTGGCACAGGAGGAGATTGATTGCCTGTCCCTCTTCAGTGGAACATCTTGTGGATTTGAACCACTTGCCTTCAGGATTGCAGCACAGCTTCTTGCGACTAAGCCACCAGAGCTCCCTAAAACGCAATGAAATTCTAACCTTAATATATTATGTATCCTTTAATCAGATTGTTCAAGAAAATATTTCTCCTAGTAGTTTTTTGATTGTTTTATGTGGCATTTTCCAGTGTTTACTACTGATTTTTGTTCTCCTCCACAGCATACACATATTCCTAGGCTTATACCTGTCATAACAAGCAACTGCACCTCTAAGTCTGTTGCAGTTAGAAGGTGAGTTTTTAAAGAATTAACTGTTTCGGACTTTTTGAGAAGTCAGAACAAACTATAGCTCTCTCACCATGGGGAAAAATAGTTAATATTTGTGGGTGTTTTTTTTTAAATTTTTTATTATTATTAAATTTTATTAGTTTCAATGAACATTCACAGGAATTCTGGGCTTTCACTCCTTCATCGCTGCACCATTCTCTCCACCCTCCTCCCCAGTTTGTTCTTCTTCCCCGCCATCCAAATGTCTGTTTTAATTGTCCAATTGCCACAGTGCTTGTCAAAGTCAGTTC